TAAATAAATAATAATAGTAATAAGGAAAAAAAAAACCAGTAAACCCGATATAAATGATAAAAGAATTATATAAATAAAACCATACCAAATGAACAATAAAATTATTTGCAATAGCAAAGCTAGACATGATCCCTAGTTCTACTTTATCGGCATTTTGGAGACATGAAGACAAATTCATTGCCATAACATTCATGGCATTTCGTACATGAATGTGAAATTCGGAATCCTTGCCTAAATTTATTTGATCATAGTAAAAAACAACTATATCCCGAATAATAAAATCAAATGCTTTGTTTAATGAATCATCTACTCGAGGGGTAATAGAAAGTTCTGAAGAAGTTGCTTTTTCATATTTAGTGGCCTTAGTTTATCGGAACAATACAAATATTAATACGGAATTTCAGATTCGCTGGTCCATTATAAAAATATTACATAATAAGAATCACCTGCAGAGAATCTTGAGCATTTTGTTGTACATAGGATTCTTGCATCCAAAAAATTTTCTGATTAGGTGTATTCGAATTGTTTCGTAGCATATAGCCAAATGTGCATCCAAGAATCAACAATATTAAAGGAGATTTTTGTAGATAACTCCATGTGAAGAAAATTATTAAATATAATATTAAATTAATTTTTGATGTTGTCGAAAAAAAGTTTATAATAGCTTCCAAAAAGAAGGTTATTTCAGGAGACAAAGTTCGTAGAGGAGACTCTTTAGAAGTCATAAAATTGAAAGCAATCGAAATAAATTGTATTATCAGAGATATAGCATTTGATGTCTCCTGTAAAGCTTCAGGTGATGAAACCTCGGATTTTGAGTCAAGCATGCTTTCTTCAGGCATAATCGTATGAATCATAGGTTGTTTTATATGAATTGGTATCCCTTCGGCAGTCATTGTTAATTATTTAGAAAAAAAAAAAACGGTAGTATTAGTTTAATATAGGAAATCGGTACGAAAGTAAATTAGGATCTGATTTTTTACATCGAAGAAAGAGAAAATAAAACTGCGGTTAAATGTTTGTGTACTATTTATATAATTAAGTAACTCTTATATAAAGTTTCTCATACAATTTTTAAGGGGCCTTGCAGATCCCGTCACGAAATCACAGTGATACAACCAACGTGATTTGAATGCTTTAAGGATTGACATTTATCAAGAACGAAGTAAAGTTAGTCAAATGGGAAATATGTCCTCCCATTTTATATTATTTAACATATGTAAGAATATATAATATTGTTGAACTTTATATTATGTTGATAGTCCGTTTTTTTTTTTTTAAGAAACTTTATTTGCCTTGTGGTATTTTATATTGGTCACCTGATTTTTAATTTATCTATCACGGCTTTGGCGCATCTCTATAATTAGTACGTACTTTGAACCCGAGACAAGTACCCGTATTAAGTTTTAAAATTATTAAGAGCTAATCAATACTAAGATTGTTTAGTGTTTATTGGCTTGTTTTTTTTTGGCTTGGCAGGCTTTGTGATCAAGACGGCTTATGCTTATGTCTTCTAACGATATATGATATAACAAACATGATTTCATCAAAATGTGGCGTTCACATTGCTTTGTTTCCAAGAAACAAAACAATGTGAACGCCACATATTCATTGAATCGGATCCGATCAAATAATAAAAAAAAAACTAAATTAAAAATTAGTTAATTAGGTTACCCTACAATTTATGTGACATTTTAAGTACTCCTACTAGATTTGTGCATCTTCTCTGGATATTTTAGGGCAGATGATTTCATTTCACAGAATTAGGAAATGAATATGGAAAAGTGTCTTGTAGAACCAGAATTATCACATAAACATAATGTAAGGGTTATACGTAATAGCTTAATACCTAGTACTGTAGTAAATCCAAGATCGCTTTTTTTTTTAATCATATAAACTGCATAAAATTGTTCCATAATTCCGGCTAGGGTGTTAAAAGTCCGATCCTATCGGTCCAGACTCCATAAATAGGGACGTTGATAAAGACTTTGATAAGGACTTGGTCCTTGAGATAAGTTCGTGCATATGCTATCAGGTTAAAAACTACCTCGATTCCCCAATCGGAATTGGAACAAACAACATGCAGATTTGATATCCCTACATTTGAATTTTTCCGAAGTAAGCTTGGAGTCAATCCATCTCAAGGACTGGGTTCGACAAGCTTTTAACAGGCCTAATTATCATGGCTAAGGTTATCTTAATGCCAGCTGAATTAAACGGTTAAAGCAATTTTAAACCATTATCGCTATTTAACGTTAAAAATGTAGAATATTGAAAGAAATGAAGTGCATATTCAGAAATAATGTCTCGGTTTTGTTTTTTAGAGAATGTCTAAAGCCAGGTGCGTTTATATAATTTACCTTTTGTTAATTAGTTAGGGTTAGGGTATTTATAGTTTTAAATAAAATCGCCTCCTCGGCATTTTTTAGATAGCCATTTTTTGTTTTTTTCCCGGTAACACCGAAGCTTTAAGTTTGATAAAAAAAATTTTTTACCGTATAAGTTCTGAAAATAAGCACCTCCGGAAATGGCTGTCGGCGAAACGAGGTCCAATCATATTTTATTATGCTTTCATATTGTAAAATATTTCTTGCCAATGTCAATATCAATAATGGCTAGATAATAGATTAACAAATGAAATAAAATAACACAATTTAACATCATTCATCATGAGATGGGTTGACATGTAGAAGTGTCAACTGCTGAAACTTTCGGTAAATCCATCATGCCGAAAGTGCAAAACCAAAAGTTGAAAGTGTGACTAAAAGTTGAAAGTACTACTGAAAGTCGAAAGAGTTTCTGAAAGTTGTACTATCAAAAAGTTGAAAATGTTAGAAATTGCTAACGAATTTGAAAATTCTACTGAAAATCGAAAGTGCTGTTGAAAATCCAAAGTACTAATAAAAGTCCAAAGTTTCTTATAATATAGATGTTCTACATTGCTAAAAATACAATAATAAAATAATTTATTGTACGGTGTGAGTTTTAGTTTGTGTAAAGGCTGTGTGAGGCTAAAGTGATAGCACGAAGCCTCTAACAGGTCAGGTCTCTTAAGATCGTAAAATGTATAAAAGCACAGGCTGTCTCATTTAATAAAGAAGAGTAGCTAACGTCCTTCTTGATGAAATAACGTAAAACAATGATCTGCCTTTCCTTTATTGCCAACTATCATTAATGCTTGAATCCCACCTGGGTGAGTAAGATACCATCGCGTCCAAACCACGTTAACTATTGGAGCTAAACTGTGCAACGTTATCCGCTCTCCCAATTTACAATAGTAACAACGGGTCTTATGTGACAACCCGTGCTTTTTTCATTTACTTGTCAGACACCGTGCAATAAGATAGTTATTATATTGAATAACCCAGTTACACACACGGGTTCATATTTAAATCCCGTGCCTTCGGCACGGAATATGAACCCGTGTGTAACTGGGTTATTCAATACAATATATAATTTATCCTATCACAAATGCTAGGAATAAAACAATTATTACTACATAACTTATACGTACGTATAGTATATTCAAATAACATTGTTTGAATAAATAGCACTTATTCAAATATTTGCTGCGAATATTATTCGAATTATATCAATTCGCCGACAGCCATTTCACCGACAATAAATCTTAGCCAACACTCTGGCTAACCCTAACCCTAAATACCTATAAAACTAGTTTTTAACTTTTATGATACTAAAATTTAGGTGTTCGATCCATCATCTGTTTATATATCCATATTTTATAATTCGGATATCCATCTTATTAGATAAGATATCCAACAGATTCAATCGGATCTATTAAGGACGTTAGGATGTTAATAGATAACGTCCGCGACCGTTATTTAACGTCCGTGGCTATTTCATAACATCCACGACCTTTATCATAACGTCCATTACCGTTATCATAACAGATAACGTCCATGACCGTTATTATAACAACGGTAACCTCTTCACACTCGTTGAATATGCACTCCTTGATAATCCGAATAATTTATCTTTTAATCTATTTATCCAATTAACTATCAAATTTCGGATATCCCATTGTTAAATGGATAAACGATTAATGGATGGGAACTCTACTAAAATTCTTTTATAACGTTATAAATATATTGTATTGGGAAAATCCAAAAAAAAAAAAAAATATATATATATATATATATATTTATTTATTTATTTATTTATTTATTTATTTTTTTTATCCATATAAATATATATTAGTATGAAAGTATTTGGATTTGAAAAAATTATTTAATCTATGTTGATTATACACTCAAAACCTAATGACTACTTAAGTTATAAAAAAAATTTTTTTTGGTTTCATGACATTAAAAAAAAAAAAAAATTTGTCTGGTTTTATAAAATATTTCAAAAACTGATCAAACCAAGTTATGAAAAACCAAAAAACTATTTTATATGGCCTTAATTGAAATTATATTTTTGAATCAAATATATTTATGACATTCAATCATAAGTTAATAATTATTGGCGAGATAAAATTTATAATTTATTTACCAATAAATTATGAAACTCATAATCGTCATCATTAGATTTGCGTTGAAATAATACGCTATGATCATCCTCAGAATTTGAACTTGAGATATGTGGATCTGTTAAAGGTAAAGGAAGATGTGCCATTATGTCGTTATTGCCAATTGGTTCACCATCATTTTGACCTGAACGCCAATATAAATCGATCAAGAGATTTGGGAAAAGGAAAATTAGAAATGCAGTACTCGCAAGAACCAATGCATATGAATATGGATCAATGTTAAGTTGTGTTAACAATGCAATCTGCTCTGGATTTGCACCCATGAAAAGAAGACCTGAAAAAATTAGCAACTAAAGATTGAAATTGGTTTAGAAAAACGATATTATATATTAATCAAAATAGAAGTTAAACAAATATTTTACAATGACTTACATAAGGACACAAATAATTGAAAGGAACCAGTTTTTTTTCAGAGCAAATACAAATTTCAAATATTCTTGCCAAACTAGCACCCATGAGCACATAGCCGAATATTGAATGAATTTTTGTGGATATTTCTGATGGTTGTGCATGCGAACTCATGGCGTAACCGGTAAATAAAATCACAATAGCTGGCATTATATTTCTTTTGCCATTTTTGGAAAGATAAATGCCGACAGCACCTCCAGCCCACCATAGTATTCCTAACGATGTATGCTATAAAAAAATATTAATAACCTTCCTTAAATGAACATAAAGTTGGCTAACAGTAATATACTGTATAGACATACCTGTAGATCTTTGTGACTCCAAACCTTGAAAAATCGAAATAAGAAGAAATCCGTGTAATGAAAATTTTGCGAATTTAATTTTGAAAAATACTTACAGGACCTCTATGTTCTGTGAAAGTGTTTACAGCTCCCCAAACCATTATCATCCAACTATCATAGTAATCTTGAGATTTTCCTTTGCGTTGTAACCATCCAGATGCAAGTCTTAACACCAAAATTAATATAATACCATATCCTGTGAACGAAGAACCCATAATAAAATGCGCAAGACACTGCTCTAAATTCCCATTTCTATTATTAAAGAAGGAGATATGTAAAAATTTTGCTAATATCATAGCACTTAAACTGAAGTACTTACCCACACCATCCAGCGACAGTTATCACTCCAAACACTATTTGTATGTAACCAATAATAAGTATAGATATACCAAGAATTTTATGAAACTTTGAGGACAAAGGTCGAAACCATTTGTTAGGACCAATCTTTAAATGTAGCTTTAGATATACACCAACTCCAACTTGACATATTAGAATATAGATAAGGTAAGGTGCAAATAAACTATGAATATTATTACTAGAGAATTCTCTTCCACCATGTGCATGTCCAAGAAAATAGCCGATTGTCATGAAAATAGAACCAATTATCTGCAAAGGAACATGCCAACGAGATCGACTAAGACCCAGAACCATACCTTTTTTCAGCATGAAGAAAGTTGATGGTTAATAAAAAAGAAAAAGATACAATTTGAAGAGAAAATCAATTAGCATACCCATCGGAAATATTATAGCAAAAGCTAAGAACATAAAAACGATATGGGTTAAAAGAATTCCATCGATAGGATCCAGTGAGGTATTGTCATTATCAGTTTCATTCGTTTCATGATGTTCATGATGTTCATGAGCGGAAATTACTTTTGATAAAAAACTAAAAATAAATAGCGATAGCAAAAATCGAAACTTTGAAAACAAATCCATTTATAATCTTGAAGTAATCTTGAAACAGAGCTGCATTCCAAATTATAGTGATAGAATAAAAATATATGGCAAAGGAAAGCTTATATAGCAATATAAGTTATGCATTAAGTATTTGTACAACTTGTGAATCCTGAATTAACCGACTAAAAAGTCCTGACAATGATAATAATTTATTTGAATTTCCGGTGCTAAAACTGATATTAATTAAGTCCGTACGTACCGGTACAGTACGATACCGGTATGGGGCGTAGAATAACTATTTTAGAAATCGTAATTAATTTAATTAAATGACTAGTTGATCTTATCCAGAACTATCGAGTTACGTAGAATATTCGTTAATTTGCACTGATAAAATTGTTTACTTTATCGTTATGTCTGTGTTAATGTTGAGTATCCAGATTGGTTAATTTCCAATATCGTTATCGATGTTTGCCCAGAATGCACTAAACAAAGCGGGGAAAATAAAGTCTGTTTATATTTGTTACACATTTTTTAATGAATAAAAATATGCTTTACATAAAAATACTTGATCTGGACAGTTACCCGGCAGATATTTCCCCGACAAGGCACCTCGACAACCCCCTCGACAAGTTAGAGTATGCACGTATAATAATTTATCATGTGATTTCCACTAAATAAAACGGCGGAAAGTCTACGGACGCAAAAGTTTCATTTTTGATAGATCTGCGGTTACATACGATGTACTCAAAATTTGATTACGTTCTTGATGCATTTTTAATAAAATATTTTGAACTTTGAGCGAATATATCTCAATAACTACTTGACCAAATTCGAAGAATTTTTTTTGTTTTAATTCTATGGATATATGAAATTTAAATAAATAAAAAAATTCATCGATTTTGATCAGGCGGTTGTTGAGATATTTTCACTCAAAGTTAGTAAACAAATTCAAAACGTCTTAAAATAGGTGTACCAAATTTTTTCTAAAACTTTTAGCGAAGATATCTCAATAACTACTCGACCAAATTCGATTTTTTTTTTGTTTTAATTCTACAAATATATAGAATTCAAAAAATAAAAAAAAATTTATCGATTTTGATCAGGTGGTTGTTGAGATATCTTAATAACCGCCCGATCAAAATCGATGAATTTTTTTTATTTAAATTCCATATATCTAGAATTAAAACAAAAAAATTTTTCGAATTTGGTCAAGTAGTTATTGAAATATCAATATATTCGCTCAAAGTTCAAAAATATTTTACTAAAAGTATATCAAGAACGTGAGTACATTGTAGATTTATCAAAAATGTAACTGTAGATCTATCAAAAATGAAACTTTTGCTCTACTGACATGTACAGATCACGTGAATTACTCGTACCAGTACATACAACTTTTCTAAACTTTGAGCGAATATATCCTAAAAACCATTTAATTAAAATCGATAAAAAAATTTCATTAAATTCTATTGAAATATAGAATCCAAATAAAAAAATTTTTATTAAATATAATTAGATGGTTGTCAAGATATTTTTGTTTAAAGTTTTTAAAAAATTTAAAAATTGCACTAAATTTTTTCTAATTTGAATGAAGATAACAAATATTTAATAAAATTTGATGAATTTTTTTATTTAAATTATACTCTTACAGAGAATTAAAATAAAAAATTTTCATCAAATTTTATTAGATGGTTGTTAAGATAACTTTGTTTAAAGTTTTAAAAAAAACAAAATATTTATCAAAATAGAAGTTATGTTGATTTTTTTTACTTTTAAACCAAGATAGCTTAGTAATCACCTGATAAAATTCAATAAAATTTTTTTTATTAGAATTCTACAATTATAAAAAATTAAAATAAAAAAATTTTTATTAAATTTTATTATATAGTTATTAAAATATTTTCAATCAAAATTTTAAAAAAACTCTTATTCAAATAGAAGTTATACTAATTTTTTCTAAACTATATGATAAAATTTAGGTTTACTTTGAAATTCTGACATCAAAAATTCTAATAATATATAATCTTGAAATACATAATTCCAAAAGTAACTAAATCTCAACAGGTTAAAATCTCAAAAGTTTAAAATCTCAACAAAGACAAAATTATTAAAGTTAAAATCTTAACAATTTAAAATCCCGAAAATTTAAAACTTTGACAAAGACAAAATTCTAAAAGTTCAAAATCTTAATAATTTAATATCTTAAAATTTAAAATCTTGAAAGTTAGAAATCTTGATAAAGTCAAAATCCTAAAAGTTCAAAGTTCTGATAATTTAATATTCTGAAATTTAAAAATTTCAAATAGCTAAGATAACTATTCAAAATCTCAAATAGTTAAGATTCTAAATATTCTAAATAGTCAAGATCCCAAAAGTTAAAGATTTTAGTATTCAAAATCTCGAATAGTCAAGATCTCGATTATTATAAAAATTATTATTATTAGTTTTTTTTGTAATTTAGGAATTAAATTTCTATTAGATTTTAATTCAAACTTAGTTGATTCTGTAAATTTAATTGGTTATAAATAACTGTTTATAATCTATATGAGTATTTATATTTAGAATAGTTTATTAAAACTAGTTAAAACTAGTTAAAACTAGTACTAGATTTAGTATATATAAAATAAACTCAGTTTTAAACTTGAATTTAATTAGACATCACACTCTGCAATATAGCTATATATCATATTAAGCAATTTATCCAATTAGATTTGATGATCAAGTGTAATATTATATTTGTTTTGAAGATCAGGTATAATATAAAATTTTTATTTTTTTACTTATTTTTTAAAGAAATTGCAAATATCTCAAAATTTTGATTATGAAACTACCTTTGGTGTTCTAATTAAAAAAATTCCTTGCTACATTTTACTATAAAATAGCCTAACTCTAAATAAGTTCTCATTTTAATCTTAAGCTAAATAGGAATATGGTTTTTTTAAAAAAAATTATATTATACAGATCTGCAAACTATGTTTTGTATATACATGTGATATATAGCTGTATCACAAAGTGCAATACATATATTTATTCTTTAAACTTTATTATATTAATTATATAATTTCACGAGTCAACTCTTCCCAACGATCACCTGTACTATTTTTTTCACAAAAAACCAAACTGTAAATTATAGTTAATTAGGCCTCTGCATGAGCTAGGTAGAGCCGGGTAGCAGCAGTACCCTAGCCCTACCCACTTGTATAAGAGCTTGATTTTCAAGCCCTTACTCTTATCCTAGGGTATAAAGCTAAATATCTAAGCCTAGTTCATTGGCTCATGGGTACCCATGAACTACCCGTGGGCCCAAATATAATCCTATCAAAACTATTCAAGATTTGGTTCACAAGCTATCTACTCTTAGAAATTCTAAGAGTAGATAGCTTGCGAACCAAATCTTGATTAACGTTAATAAATCATCTTTATACACACAAACTAAATTAATACGAATAAAATGATTTGAAGGGTATTAGATAATTAATTGTAAATAAGTATTTAGAGATAAGTATTTTTGAATAATTATTTATGTTCATTATTTTAATTCCACTGATTAATGTTAATAAATCATTTTTATACTTACAAACTAAATTAATGCGAATGAAATGATTTGAAGAGTATTAGGTAATTAATTGTAAATAAGTATTGAGATAAGTTTAATTCCATTAATTAACGTTAATAAATCATCTTTATACTCACCA